TCAATTGTAATTTAATTAGCCTTATTTTGCACGTATTTATGTAAAGAATAAACTGTAAAAATTTGAAACAATTCTCACATAACTGATTTTACGAAAGAATTACCTTAATCTCGATTTATTTATTGTTAATTGAGATTCGTGTACAGTTGGACCTGCATTTTTATCATCGTTTTTCTCGCCTATACAAATCACTGAGTTTCAGGCTGTATACATATATGCGTGTACTACCACAGACTTTAATAGAAGCTGCGTTAACAGCCTGAAACTCATTGATGTATAGATGGGAATAAAGATTATAAAAATGTGAATCCTAGTAAAACTGAGGTGCGAGCATTCACGAATAAGGCCCAGTATCACAGTGGCTAGTTAGCTTAACTAGTTGTTAAGTAGCGATGCCAACCACTGATACAAAATTTGATAAGCTATTTACAAGGTTATATATATATGTATAATATATATATATAAACAATATATGTATACAAATATTTCAATATATATGTATATTTCTTTTAAGCTTATTTGCGAAAATGCAACTTGTCAAAACCACTGTGATACTGGGCCTAAGACTGTACCCCGCATGTTTTCAGCGAACCGAGAAACATTTAGATTCTGGCCTGCGAAGGCTACAGAGCGAATTTACAAGAGAGTTTATTTCGGACGCTTGTAAATTTTAAATTTCTCTTTTTAGCCGCTTGATTTAATTCAATTTGTCTATTTTCCGTAGAGTTTATTTACGTACTATCGATTTTGCGATTTTACGATAAAGAATCACCTGGACATTACCTGCCAGTTGCGATAAATTATGCATATTAGCCGAGTAGATTATGCATAATAGTCAATGATTTTAACGCGATAAAATTTCTGACGTGAACCTACATTATTAGACATTCAAACTCGCTGATCCGATATCCTCGACGCTACGTTGTTTTTGTTCCTCGCGTTTTTATCCTTTTTTTTCTACTTGTGTTCTTCCCGCGCGTGTGCCTGCGCGACCGTTCCTCCATCGATAAAGATAAGGATAAAGATTTTATGGCCGACGGCGAGCGCTCCTGGAATGATCAATAACCGCTTTCTCACCCTGTGTAACTCGCGCAGAAAAAATCTCGGGAGGAGAGCAAGGGTGCCGGTAGCGGCGTGGAGATAATCGAGAACGAGCCGTACAGCAACGGTCCGGGAGGTAACGGGCAGTATACACACAAAATCTATCACGTGGGCAGCCACCTGCCGAGCTGGTTCAAGAGCCTCCTGCCGAAATCGGCGCTGATCGTCAAGGAGGAGGCATGGAACGCCTATCCGTACACCAAGACCCGCTACACGTGCCCGTTCATGGAGAAGTTCTCCGTCGAGATCGAAACCTACTACTTCCCGGACGATGGCCACCAAGAGAACGTCTTCAATCTCAGCGGCAGTGATTACAGGAACAGGATCGTGGGTAAAGAGGAGATTAGATTGGACTTGGGCTCGGTTTCACCAAATCGCTTAACTTTAATCTTAGTTTAATTCACGTTTGTCTCTTTCTAAAGTAACAGCTGGAAAGAGACAAAGAACGAATTAAGTTGTGAGCTCAATGTTAAGCGGCGTTGGTGAAACCGGGTCTTAGATGAACGCGGGACACGACGTGCTACGTAACAACGATGCAGTTGAGCCTGAAAGCAAAAATACCCTAACAGCACATAAAATACATTCATAGAACATACCTTATAATGTTCTGACAATGTTCTTACACTATACGTTTGCGATACCATACCGAACATTTTTAGGATACACATGTGCTGCTAGGATACCGTGAACTTTGCGACGTGAAATGTATGTTTATTACAATGATAGATTCCCGATAAAATTGTTCGCTAATTTTCCGTACGCTTTATTGATTACTGTAGAATATCGCTCGTCGTTTATTTCTTGTCTGTTAAAAACTGAAGTTATGTCATGATTTCCCGATTATTCAGAAGGTTTTTTTTTGCCGTTGCTGTCAATGACATTTGTAAACGACTGTTGACTTTAATAATTGAAAAATAACGCGGTGATACACAAGTACGCCGATTGACTCCGCGACAATTTGTTTCCAAGACCTGATCGACATTGTCAAGGATCAGCCGTACGGGGCGGACTACGTGAAGGAGGAGGACCCTAAGCTGTACGTGTCGGAGAGGACCGGAAGAGGCCCGCTGGAGGACACGTGGCTGGAGGATTATTGGGCCGATGTGGAAGTATACATCTCCCCATTTCTCTCTCTTTCTCTCTCTCTATCTCTTTCGAAGAATTTTACACCTATCCGCTTAAGTAGTATCACCGTTGATACATTAGCGATTCTCTCGCTAGGGAAAGCAACAGCCAACGCCGTCGGGAAAGTCACTAATGTGCGCGTACAAGCTATGCCGAGTAGAGTTCCGTTATTGGGGCATGCAAACGAAATTAGAAAAATTCATACAGGACGTAGGTTAGTACCGTTACGTGCTTACCACTCTGCCTTATCTTGCCCTTTGGATGCCGGGCATTTAACTCCGACATTTTTATCTCGAACGCGGGGACTGCCTTCATCAGGCTTCTTGCCGGGAAGATCATTTCCCAGAAATGAGATCAGAAATGAGATTCTTTCTGAAACTTTTGAATAAAGATATCGCATGCTCTTTCCTTCGGGATGAAACGAAATTGGAGCAACTTGAGCCTTGCCAATTTAAGCACGCGTTTCTCTTCGTAGTGCGAACTAAGTTTTCACTCTTTGGTACACGGAGTGTCTCGGAAGTTGTGCGTTTTTTCGGGAATAATGAGCTAAAGTGACGAAGATTATGCTTCTTTAATATTGTGCGAGTACAAAAACAATTATTTTTAAATTTGTATTGAATGGTTTTCGCACAATTTGATGCTAAAAAAATGCCGCGCGTAATTACAATTTATTAAAACGGTCGAAAGAAATTGCACAATCTTTGATGCATCCTGCGTACTGTAAGTTTATCCATTTTTCGCTTTTTTTTATGAATAACGATGCTTTGAGTTTGCCAAATTTAAGGCGATACAAATTCTTATGCCAAGAGCCCGGCAGCTAAAGGGTTAACCCTTTCGATCATGAATCTTTATTCTGTTAAAAACATCTTGTTTAACTTGGATTGTTTCAAATTGAAGGCTGTAAATCGAGGATCAAGTATTCATGAAAAATCGTTTAAGTGCACCTTAAAAGAAAATTAATTCAAATTTACTAGAGCTGCAATTCTATTATTGATCCACAACATTTTTCTAGATCTTTCGTATCTCGAACATTGTATTTTAATTTAGAAAGTGTAACTCATCTTTATACCGAAGTCGAAGCGCGCGGGAAAGAAAAATAGATTTTTGACGTAAAGACTCATCTCTTCAGATTAGCAGAATTGTAATCTATTTCGTTTATCGATTCCCTATTACTTTTTGTCTACGCAACATCGGGCGTTGCCGTTGTTGGAGCAGCCTCTTCCTACCCCGTGACACACAAGAAGTCGTGATCGAAAGGGTTAATTTTAACCGGCGCATCCGGTCGGCCGTGCGTGAGACGTATTAAGGTCGGTTCCAGCTCTGCGGAAGACGATGGTGCGGGCGCACAGGCAGGCCTGGGCCTGGCAGGACGAGTGGAACGGTCTGACGATGGCAGACATCAGGGAGATCGAGCGGCAGACGCAATTGGCCCTGCAGCGAAAGATGGGCCTGAGCGACTCGGAGGACGAGCTCGAGGACGAGAAACGGAAGGCGAGCGCGACGGCAACGACGGCGATCACGACGACGACGGCGACGCCGGCGAAGATGACGTCGGAGGAATCGGCGGTAGCCAAGACGCTGGCGGCCACCCTGGGCAGCATCGAGAAGAACGAGGAGGCGCAGAGTCCGCCGTCCGTCAGGAAGCCGTCCGACATTCCCATCATCAACACGGCGGCCAGCTCCGAGGGTGAGATCAGCCCCGAGGAGCCGATCGACCTGGATGAGATCAAGTAAGATTATTCCCGAGTCTACCTTATTCGCAAAATACTGACAGTTGTGCCGATAAGTGAACTTGTATCCTCTGCGATAAGATTTTATTTTCAAACAAGATCGAGTGGGCTTTTTAGAAATTTGTTTCTTAGGCCCGGTTTCACCAACGTCGCTTAACTTCAAGCCTAGCTTAATTCGTTCTTTGTCCCTTTCCAACTGTTACTTTAGAAAGAGACAAACATGAATTAAACTAAGATCAAAGTTAAGCGACGTTTGGTGAAACCGGGCCTTATTCTTTTAAACAAAATCGGAGTTTATATCCAGAGTAATTGTATACTACTATACGTTGAATATCTTTTCTTGGCGAGAAGATGATCTTTCTTGACAGTGAATTGAAGATGTAGGACAAATTTTTTGGTTTCATTAAAGGACTTTATATGATTATGCAAAAATGTGGAAAAATGTTTTTCTATTGTAATTTATTTAATACTTTGTCGTCTATTGTCCATGAAGCATTTGTTAGGTGTGGTAGAAATTGTTTTTATATGTTGTCATTGTGCGTGTGTCAAGTAGTGTGTGATATCGCTCTCATTATTCTCTGAAAACGATAAGATAATTACGAATTCATCATATCTGCGGTGTTAGTTTGTGACTTTGACTGCAGCTGATTGCCACAAAGAATCGCGTTCTAGATGATAATAAAGTAACGTGATAACAATTGTATTTTTAATACAGACCGAGCAGAAACTAACGCTTATGGCTGGCTGTTTTTCATACAAGGAAAAGTGAAGATAAATACAATTACAGATCCTTTAATGATAATGTCATATCTTTGTCCTCTTTCAACTCTACTTTCGCACGATTTAAGCCTTTCATGACCTAATTATTTTAAAAACATGAAACACTGGCATGTCCCAAGGAACCAGAGAGGCAAAAAATATAATTGGGACCTATATGTCCCAGTGGTTATAAAAGGTCATAAGAATATGCAACTGTACGCTCTAAACGCGAGTGAACTCGTCATGAATCAATAACGTTCGGGCAACAAAAGACGAGTTTAAACGTCCCCGGACAATAGTGTGTTAACAAATTAATAATCGGACTAAAAGCGAGCTGCGTTGCAGAAATGCGGCCGCCGCGAAGGCCAAGAAAGAGTGGATGAAAAAGAACTTGCACTCGCCGAGTTTGAACCAGAGCTTCGACATCCAGATCGCGAACTGGAGGATGGAGAGCATCGTCAGGGAGTCCGAATCCGGCAGCGACGACGAATTCTTCGATTGCCAGGGTAAGACTGTTAAGACGCATGAGTACGTATAGCATGCCTGTGATAATCTAGAGAAAACGCATTAACATAGTTCGTAACAAATGAATGATGGCCGGATGATAATTCTGCGACATGCTGCTTTCCGCCGTAATGAGTCTTAAATAAATCAATGGAAGGCCTAAGACTTGATTATAAATGTCAAATTTAATGAGAGAGCTTAATGAAAAGATATATTATCAAAAAGTTAAATACTGAATATTCCAAGAAATCCAAAGAGCTATCGAATATCATTCAGGCATTAATGTCGAAATAATTAACGGGTTAATAGTAGAACGAACATATAATAATCTTGAATGACAATCTTGATAAATAATAATCTTCAGAAAATGAAAAGAATCTATTTGCAGATTGTTCAGACGTGCTATTATTTGAAGATATTTAAATTTGACATTTAACAATAAGATACTTCTGTATAGTATATATATATATATATAAATAATTTCCTTGAGATATAAAACGTGTTCTGTTATCTAACGTAATTATAACATCGATATGTCTTATAATGATGCTCCTTGCTAATTCTTGTGAATTATGCGAAAGAAGTGTGTCTTACAACAATGCATAGATAACTCAAGTAGAAACAACAGCATGTGCTGCGTTTTTATGTGTATCCTCTTTGTTTTTTATGTCGCACCCCCATACTGCAGCTGGGTTCATTATACCTGTTATACGCAAAGGTAGGACACGTAGAATAAGCGAGATAAGTTACGAGAGAAAGAGTAAGAGAGAGAGAGAGAGAGAGAGAGAGAGAAAGCAAAAGAAAAAGAAAAGAGAAAAGAGAGGAGGAAAGAGAGAGAGAGTCGTCATACACACATATCATCTGTGCAGAATTAAAGAATGGCCTTAAAATAGACGATGCGATAAATCGAGCTGTTTGGCACATACAAAATTTGCATCTTTCGGCGTGACATGCGACTAAGATTAGACTCGAGCATGAAAATCCGCGAAAGGTTCACACGCGGCATGCGGCAGCATGGCTATACGTAGTAAAGAGACTTAACCGATCTAGTGGCTAACGAAAATTAACTTGTGCATACGTTAGATAAAGTTTTACATTAGAGTATTGCATTAGATGGGATAACATATGCGAAATGACCTCTATATAATCTAGAATTCGAATCTATAATTGCAATCGAGCTTCTGTTTGTATACCGCAGACTGTTACTACAAATATTGTTATTACAAAATTGTTATCGTTTGTGAGATCATGCTCTCTTTAAAGCATCATATTTTATATTATCGATACATGTATTATTGCGAGTCCTGTTTCGAAATATATACAATTAATCGGGGAGAAAGCACATTGCATAAGCAGTGTTAACGTTTCTGATTACACAGAGGACTTTGAAGATACCTCTTCATTAGCTAAATGGAGTTCTTTGGATCTTCTAGCAGAAGGGGAGGATACGACTGTGCGGACACCATCTGCTACAAACGAGCCAGGTTAATATATATATTCTAAAACATATTTTTGTGGCGCATAAATGTATCAATTATTATTAAGCTTTCACCACATTATTTTCTGTCTACTAAATTATTTTCATTTTCAAAAAAAGCGTAGAACAAATTATTAAATTCGTCTCTGCTCTTTCAACTATAAACGGTAACAACGGAAATGCTTTCCCTATTTTCAGACGATACAATATTTTCGCCTTCGTATCTGCAACGCATCACCAGTGAACGAAGCAGCAAGAGATTGCAGATTACCACGTCGGCCAGCATTGACATGTCGTGTCCAGCATCCCCTCAACATTCTCCTACGCATCACCCGTGCAAAATTACTGTTTTAATTATTGTGGTACATGGCGGCAGTGTTTTAGGTAAATGAAGATTTTTTTAATTTGAGAAAGTTTACATTATAGATTTTTACATTTTGTGTTTAGTTATTATGCATACGTCTCTCTCTCCTTTATTACATAACTGTTTGTTGGCATAGAACTGGTATCTTATTATGTTGACGTGAAAAGAATTGACCAAGAAAATCACTGTGTCAGCATATATCGATCCAGAATCGCGTTTTTATATTTCAGACGCGAATGTCGATTTAACGGCGAAAAAATCAGACATAACGACATTCCGTGGAGCTTTCGAATCCGTCATGAGACAGCATTATTCTAGCATGGTCGGTCACGTATCTGTTAAATTCGTCGCCTGCCCTTCTATTTGCACCGAAGGCCTGGGAATTTTGTCAAGGTAATATTATCTATTTTCTTTTATGTTCGAATGTTATCTACGGATGTTGCCGTAATCTTATTATAATTTCATTGCGTAGCCTGAGTCCATACAGCTTCGACATGTCGCCTTCGTGCATGGATGCTCCGCAAGTGACGCACGACACTATCCCGATCGGTGCGATTCCGCTGTTAGCGAGCTCGAGTTCCGAATATCAAGACACAGTGTCGCGCGTGGTGATGAGTGCCAACCAAGTGTATCATGACTTCATCAAGAGCGATGAGGGTAAAGGTTTCAGCGGGCAGATTTGCTTTGTGGGTGATTCAGTGGGGTCGATTCTGACCTATGACGCCCTGTGCAAGGCGACGCAGCACTCGAGACACAGTAGCGAGAACAGCATTCTAGAAGGTAGCGGTCAGCAGGGTAACGATAACGGTGGGAACGAAGATGGCAAGCATTTGTCCGCGCCATCTCCCAGAAGAAGGTCTTCCGGTACGAGGTGAGCAATTACGGTTAATGACTAAACCTCTTTTAAATGAAGTTAAGAAAAGACAAAAGGGAAAACCAATATATCGCGAACCAATGTCAATTATTTATATTAGAGATAATGCATTGAATAGAATTGACCTGGGACTATGAAAATATTAATCGGTTCTTATTATTAATGTGTCGTTTACAGTGACAACAAGCTGGACTTTGAAGTGGGTGACTTTTTTATGTTCGGTAGTCCGCTTGCTTTAGTCCTCGCTTACAGAAAGATTGCCGCGTCTAGCGACAGGAATAGTTTTATACCTAGGCCGTTAGTCAACCAAGTGTACAATCTGTTTCATCCGACGGATCCCGTGGTCGCGAGATTGGAACCGTTGATCTCAGCGAGGTTTTCGTTGATCGCGCCGGTCAATATTGCCCAATATCAAAAGTATCCGCTCGGCAATGGCCAGCCTTATCACTTGCGTAAGTATATTGGGATTGCAAATAGGATTATGGAATGTAGAAGCAGAAGTTTCTCACTCTCCAAGATCTGTGGTGAAATTGAACAAAAGAACGATACATTTAAAGCAGATTGTAAACTTGATTTCAGTGGAGACTATCCAGACCAATCCGCAACTGTTTGCTGACGGATTGAATGTTCCCAATCTTCAAATGTCGCATTTAAGAAGATTATCCGATATATCACTTCAAAGTACAATGTCAGGCATTATCGACAATGTTCCTTTACAGGCAGTGTCTGCCCGTACGTAGAAATTATTTATTATATTTACTTACTGACTATGTCCACAATTTAAAAACTTGGCTAGAAGCTTGGATTACAAAATTTAATTTGCGATAGTTGTTTTAAGCAAGCATCGATTTTTTCATAGAACGAGCGAATCATTCTATGTCAAATGTACCGAAGTAGTCTGAAGCTTATTATTACGTTCCAGTGATGCAAAAGTGGTGGGGCACCAAAAGACTAGACTATGCGCTCTATTGTCCAGAGGGTCTCGCTAATTTTCCTACAAATGCCTTGCCGCATCTCTTCCACGCTAGTTATTGGGAGTCTTCGGACGTGATTGCGTTCATTTTGAGACAATTGGGCAGATTCGATTTGCCATTGCTCGGCAACGAAGAAAAAGATCTCACTTGCTTCCGTCCAGGTCAACCCAGAGAAAAATGGAATAAAAAACGTACCTCCGTTAAACTTAAGGTTCGTTGCTCTATCAATTTTACATTTAATATTTAATTGTCTGTTATTTAAAAATAGTTCTTTGCTCACGTTGACATATTGCAGAATGTTGCTGCCAATCACAGAGCGAATGATGTCATCGTGAGGGAAGGTGCACCACAAGTATTAGTCGCTAGGTTTATGTACAGTCCTATTGATATGATAACTTTAACAGGTATAAATAAAATTAAGAAAAGAATTTGCCTAAATCTTTGTATAATAGCAAATGGTCTATTTAACCAAAATCCAAATATCATGTTTAGTAAATAACTTATTTCAATTATTCTGTATATTATATAATAATAATAATAATTTTATATTGAAACAAAATGTAAGACGAAAAATATTTATGATGCCGTAGGTGAGAAAGTTGATATCCATATTATGAAAAACGCACCGGCAGGCGAGTGGACGTACCTTTCTACTGAGGTAACTGACAAGAATGGTAGAATAATTTACAAAATACCAGATGACAAAGTGCTAGGTTACGGACTTTTTCCAGTAAAGATGGTTGTAAGGTAATATATTTTTCTCTTTAAAATTTAAGTAGATATCTATTAATGCAAGTTATTATTCATGTAGATTAAAATTGCTACTAGTAATTAAAATTAATTAGAATGCTCTAATCGAGGAAGATTGAAATTAATACCATATTTCACATTATATGAATGAAAGTTACTTTAAATGAGAGTCAAAGTATAAACGAATAAATGAGAACAATTAAGGGTGTAATTAATATAAATGACCTTTTTTAATGCAAAGGAAATACAGACTTTTAATACAAATGCACATGCACATTCGCGTTTCAGGGGAGATCATACATCTGTAGATTTTTTCATGGCTGTGATACCGCCGAGAACTGAGTGTGTGGTTTTTAGTATAGACGGTTCTTTTGCCGCTAGTAGGTCGGTGAGTGGTAAAGATCCGAAAGTCTGGGCTGGTGCTGTCGATGTTGTGAGGTAACGTATCATAAAGACGAATTAGAACGAATTCCGCAAACTGTATTTATCTCTTTATCCGTGCAATGCAAAAATATTTACAACAAAAGGGTTCGCACAAAAGGGTGTCACAGTTGTAATTTGGAAATCAACTATAAAAATATATTCTGTGGCAAATTTATAACATCTTTTTTTTGCAAAAAGTGGACATTGTTAAAAATCTTCTTTATTGTTTCTTGTAGGCATTGGCAGGAACTGGGTTACCTCATCATTTATATTACCGCGAGACCCGATATGCAACAGCAGACAGTAGTTTCCTGGCTGTCGCAACATAATTTTCCTCATGGTCTCGTCTCATTTGCCGACGGCCTGTCCAGAGATCCGCTCGCCCACAAGGCTGCCTACTTGAATAAGCTTGTGAAGGTTTGTACACGCTAGTATTATATATGTAATTACTAATCAGCATGTACAGCTAACAATAGAACTAAATAAATCAATTAAATATTCATGCATGATCAAGTCTCATGCTGCGAATACTTTTGTGCCCGAATAAACAAGCAAATCTACAAGCTATGTTCTTTTATTTAATTCGGATGGATATCTGGCAACCTGTAAGAATGTGTATTATCCAGTGCACAGTGACAAGTATATCCATTAATTTCAAAATTAATTTCTTACTTCTACCAAGTTGAGAAGGTTTGACCATTTTCTTTTCACGTCTTGGAAGAAATCCCAATAGAATTATGACTAATCGCGCCTCACTTCTTTACTCTGCGCGATAAAATGTTGATACCAAATTAATAATGATCCATTGGATATAGGAGCACGGTATGATAATCCATCAGGCGTACGGCAGCGAGAAGGACATTAACGTGTATACGGCGATAAGCCTGAAACCGAGCCAGATCTTCATAATCGGCAAAGTATCGAAGAAGCATCAAGCTATGGCGACAATACTGTACGACGGGTATGCCGCTCATTTGAGCACGTTGCAGGCACACGGGGGTTCGCGGCCTGCTCAAGGTAACGCGCGCATGGTAATTCCCAGAGGTCAATTCGGCTTACCAGGACAGAATACTTCTCTGCGTCGACGAAGGTGAGCCTTTCTAGCAATGCACTCCGACAATATCGTAACAAGAGATCTTCCCACGCTTCGCTAAAGGATCAAGTATCTTTTTTGCCGGATTCTGTTGTTCGTTACGCTGAAAATGTAGTTATGCATTTACTGTGTTCCGGAATCAATTGCACCTGTGATTGTGGCTGTTAAATTCACAATTAAGATTACCAATCACTTCTGCTTATTCTTACACTTAGTTTCTTATTGTAGTTTTTCTTCTTCACAATAATGCAGGCATCGGTAAGCTTTTCTGAAATATTATTACATTCTAAAAGAGTGTGTTGAGATCAATTTGTAATAAATAATTTAACTCATTTTTTTCTACATTTAGCAGTTTAGTATAATTATAACAGAGGAGAAAACTCGAACTGTCCGAGAACGAAAAACTGTTTAGTTCGTTAACATTGGTGCAACTGACTTTCGAAGCTACAAGGGGAAGATGCAATCAGCATCTTTGCGAGAGCGAGTTAATCCTCTCAACCCTCTGTTGCCCAATTGCTTGAAATTCCTTTCAAACACAACTGTTTTGTCCTCTTTCTTTCGTTCTGGTTAATCGTTAGATTGCCGGTTTGGATCGTCCATTTAACAATCGCTCATGAAAGTCGAGAAGCTATCTGACGAACTCTTGAATCTTTCGGAAAATATATCTTGTGAGGTCGACGCATATAAATGTTGGTGCAATGTGTATTTAAATTAAAGTTTATTCGATTTAATAACAGATGAGATAAAAATAAATTTTCGACATTTGCCCAGTTTGGTGCAGATCTATTCTTTACATACCTTTATTGCGGTCAGGCAAGAAAGGGTTGAGAAAGGACACCTTGTGCGGCGTTCGCGCGCGGGATTGCCATAGCTGTTCGGCTAACGGCAAAGTGTGTGTGTGTCCTTTGCGTGTGTGAAAACGAGCACCGGCTATGTTCCAGTAACGACACAGCGGTGAACTCCCCGGCGCGCAACAGCGTCTACTTAAAGCGGAAAATCTACCTTACTCACATCTAACACACGCCTATAATCTACGTACAATTTACTTACTCACATTGGTAACTATCTAATAACCGTCTACTGCTTAATCATTGTCATAGGCGCCGGCGGTGCGCGATAATTGTTCTGCAACTGATATAATTAAATAAGTATTGCATTCGTTAGCTCGAGTTTAACTCGATTGCTCAAGGGCGCTGCACGGCCTCTTCTGCTTTCGTTGCTCGTCTCTTTATAGGAGCGGAAATTGTAAGCCTTTTGCTCAATCTTCACTTTGGAGAACCGAACGAATTGTTTCACAGCTGTTGCTGCTCCTCGTCGTTTTTATTGAATTTAACTCGACTGGTTTGAACTAACAAACTGAACAATTGATCCAAATCGGGAATGCGTCGGCGCCTATGCCCTCCGCTTTTCCCCAAATCTCTATCGCAGATATCGCAGCGCGATCCCTTACTGGTAGAAAGATCGCGAACCAGATTGTATTATCTCTTCGCGCGTGGAAACAGCGTGCGTTGAACAATCGCGGAAATTGGCAGCGGCTTACATCGAGGTCTATTAAGATCGACGTCTGTGTAGACACGTTTGAATCGCGCACGGGGAAGGACGTTGAACGAGGAAGAGGAACAATTGAATCGTAGAACGTTTGATTGCGAAGGCCAATGCGAATTGTCGCGACTGCCAGCTCGGATCGACGTTTCGTAATCAACGTTCCACTGCCTCGCTCTTCCCTTACGGATCGGATCTTTTTACCATTAACGCGCGCTGCACCGGCCACGTCCCCACGCTGTCTAGTCAGTAAAGCGGAGGCCCACCAGACCGAATTTCGCTGACCAGTCTCTTGATTGCAGGTACCTGCTATGAGGATATGTCGCGTTATCCCAGCGTAACGTTAAATATCACACTTCTCTGTCTCTATCTCTCACTCGGCGAAAAGCTGTTGTCGCCATACCTACGCTCAAACTCATTGTTTGCCTATCGGCTAGTACACAATGTCCAGGATCTATGGTTAATCCGCTCTATGACCGCTCGCTAGATACGCCCGGGAAATAGAGTCGTTTTCGTAATCCTCCTCGAAACGAACCGGTCTCACTTTAGCGACGAAGGTAAACCGTCGTCTCACGTTCCGCTTGAAACTTGTTAGATGAGTGTTTTATGTCACAGTACGCTAGATCCACCACCTAGACCGCTCCGCGTTTTACGTGTCTCTCCAACTGACGGGATTCTCACTTAATATCTTAATCCAAATTTAAATTGGCTCGCGGGTTCAGAACTTATAGGATTAGAGGATATTTTAACTGAATAATTAATGTCTCTTTCAACAGGATTCAAATGTAATCTGTTTAATGAAAATAATTCTTTTTTAATACAGGGATGACTTTTTCATTTATTGAAATTTATGGTGATTTACTGTAACATCAGGTATATTCAGTTTCTATCTAGAGTTTTATTAACGTAACTTATAATATAATACATAATAATTGAGATTTTGTCATGTATAATTAATGAGATTTCCATTAAAATTCACGTAAATATTGTAATCTTTTTTCAAAAGATATAAAGGGTGTTTCATTTCGAGGTATAGAACTTTGAATTTAAATAAAACACAGAAAAACAATTTAATGGCCACGAATGTGACTTTATTTGAAAGATAATTTTATGCCATTAATGTTTGAATATGATTTCGGACATGTGGCCGCCGCGGCTGGTGCGTACATGGCGTAATCTGGAGGTCCAATTTTCGATCACTCTTCGCAGCATTTCTGGTCGTATTTCGGCTATAACGCGTCGAATGTTGGCTTCCAAGTGTTCAATAGTCTCTGGCTTA